GCCTCAAACATGGAATCCTCCTGCCTCAGCCTCCTGAGAGCTGGGATTATAGTCATGTACAGCCATGTCTGGTTTCTGCATCCATTTTCATATTAAATATCATGAATTCATACTAAAACCTTTAATTCCAACTCATTCTTTTTGTTGACGCTTCTTTCCTTTTGGTGTATGTAATTTCAGTGCTGAGAAACTTTTTATATGTGTGTGTGTGTGTGTGTGTGTGTGTGTGTGTGTGTGTGTATGTGTGTGTTTTAAGACAGGATCTCCCTGTAGCCCCAGCTGGCCTGGAACTCGCTGTGCAGACCAGGCTGGCCTTGAACTCACAGAGATCCTCCTGCCTCTGCATCCCAAGTGCTGGGACTACACGCATACACCACCAATTTTTTTTAAGTGTCTCCCGGGTTGGAGAGATGGCTCAGCAGTTAAGATCACTGGCTATGCTTCTTGCAAAGGATCTGGGTTTGAATCCCAGCATACACATGGGGGCTAACAACCATCCATAACTCCAGTTCCAAGGGATCCAACACCCTCTCTGTCCTCTGAGAACACTGCATGACACTAGTGCACTTACACACATGCAGGCATAACACTCATACACATAAAATTAAAAAACATAAATAAAGAGTGTCTCCCTATAGCTCCAGCTGGCCTGAAACTCACTATAGACCAGACTAGCCTCAGTCTCATAGAGATCCTGAGTGCCTCTTGAGTGCTGGGATTAAAGGCCTGCACCACCATACCTGGCTGAAAAATTTACTTACTTTTTTTGTTTTTTTGAGACAGGGTCTCCCTGTAGCCCCAGGTGACCTGAATTTACTATGTATACCAGGCTGGCCTTGAACTCACAGAAATCTGCCTACCTCTGCCTCCTGAGTACTGGGATTAAAGGAAGTGCGCCACTACGCCCGGCTGTTTTAGGTTTTTTTTTTTTTGTCTTTTTGAGAAAGGATCTCCCTGTAGTCCCAGCTGACCTGAACTCACTATGTAGTTGTTTTAGTTTTTTAAGACAGGGTCTCCCTGTAGTTCCAGCTGGCCTAGAACTCAGTCCTGAGACCAGGCTGGCCTGGTCTCATAGAGAGCCACCTGCCTCTGCCTCCCAAGTGCTGAGACTAAAGGCGTGAGCCACTACGTCTGGCCAAAGATTTGTTTTTTTAAGTCTTCATTCTTAAAAAGAAAAAAAAAAAGATTTGTTTTTGTACATAAGAGGTACCCCCCCACTCCCCCCCTTTTTTTTTTAGTTTTTGGAATCAGGGTCTCGAAGTCCAGGGTGGCCTCTCACTACATAGTGAGGATAACCTTGAACTCCCAATCCTTCTACTCTTGCCTCCCCAAAGATGAGATTACAGATATGTACCACCACACCCAGTTAAAAGTTTTCTTCCTTAGGGCTGGAGAGATGGCTCAGTGGTTAAGAACACTGGTTGTTCTTGCAGAAGACCCAGGATCAAATCCCTTTGGGTTTGATGTGTGTGTGTGTGTGTGTGTGTGTGTGTATGTGTGTGTGTGTACCATGATTCACTTGTGGAGGTCAACCTGAGTTGGTTTTATCTTTCTAATATGTGGGTCCCAGGGATCAAACTCAGCTGGTCAGGTTGGTGGCAAGTGACTTTACCCACTGAGCCATCACACCAGGCATTTTTCTTTTTAAGTACTGACTTGCCAGGCATTTAAAAAATGTACTTCCCTATGCGAACTCATTTTTGTTCTCTAAAAACTTAAAAAACTTCAGATTTGGGGCTGGAGAGATGGCTCAGCAGTTAAGAACACTGGTTGTTCTTGCAGAAGACCAGGTTCGAATCCCAGCACCCACATGACAGCTAACAACTGTCTGTAACTCCAGTCCCAGGGGATCTGACAGCCTCTTCTGATCTCCAGGGGCATTGCATGACATGGGTGCATTTACCTACATGCAGGCAATATACGCATACACATAAAATAAAAATAATAAATAATAAATAAAAACAAACAAACAAAAAACACTTCAGATTTGTCAGGTGTAGTGGCTCACGCCTTTAATCCCAACTCCTGGGAGGTAGAGGCAGGTAGATTTCTGTGAGATAGAGGCCAGCCTGGTCTACATGGTTTCAGGTGGGTTAGGGCTAGGGAGACCTCACCCCCCCCCCAAACACTTCAAATTCTCCATTTTCTCCATCCACCCAGCACATACTCAACAAGCAAACACTATGTGCTAGATTACACTCTTGGGCTGGGGCGTGAAGAGACTCTTGAATTTGGAAAGGACTGGTGGGAAGAGAATATAAGGTAAAAGGTATAAGCTACTAGATGGCTAGGCTGGGTACTGAAACCAGACAGCCTGGCCCCAGAAACCCTACTAGACCATCTGCCTCTGATTGCTTTTACAATTTGCGCTCTACCCCCTACACAAGTTTACAGCTCTCTTGAATCCAATAAAAATGCCTCTGTCAGTTTGTAAGTCTACACAGTGCAGAGCTTTGTGTGTTGTCCATATTACCTAACATCTCTGAGACTCAGTTTCCAAATCTATAAAAATGAAGATACTGACCTTGTCCCACTGTGAGGATAAGTCCAATTGTGTGAGGTGTCTGTGGTATTTGTGACATAGAGGTTTTAGTGAAATTCACTTTCTTTCTACACAAATACTACATTATGTTTTCCCAGAACAGGAACATTCTTTTTTTTTGCTGTGATTAAACCATTCATTTAGATATTCATATTTACATCTATACACATCATCAAATATTTCAGACGATCATCCTATCTGAGCCATGATGTGCAGAAAGTGAGAGGATGAAAAACAGGCATCTCAGGCCTTTAAGAACCTTCTAGTTCTCCTGGCTAATACCATCCACAGCAGGGTAGAGAACTCTATGGGGTAGGGAAAAGTGTGGGGAGAAGGTAGACTGTGTTTGAGTAGCTTCAACTGAAGCTTGAATATATTGTGTGAATCAGAGACATTGATAGCGTGTAATTAGAGAAGTGACACCATCAAACTTATATTTGTTGGAAGGGTGAAGGGAATGGGCAAGACATGCAAGTGTGTGAAAAGGAAGCTTGTGGTGGGGCTTTCCCCTGGGGATATAGCTTAGCAGTGGTTCTAACTCCTTAGCGTGAACAGAGCTTAGATGGAGATGTGAGAGCCAACATTCTAAATAACCAGTGGGAGAAAAATGAAACAAGGTAAGGAAGCAGAGACAATTGGGTTGGATGGCTGCGTAGAGCTTTTAAAAATATTTTATTATGTTTAAATCAATTTTTATTTTATGTGTATGAGTGTTATGCCTGCATGAATGTAAGCACACCTGTGTTGCACAATGCCCTCAGAGAATTGAAGAGGGTGTTGGATCCCCTTGAACTGGAGTTACAGATAGTTGTTAGCCGCCATGTGGGTGCTGGCAACCAAACCTGGGTCCTCTGCAAGACCAGGCAGTGCTCTTAACCACTAAGAGATCTCTCCAGCCCCTTATTTTTTATGTGTATGCATGTATTGCCTGCATGTATGTAAGTGCACTAATGACCTGCAATATCTACAGAAATCAGAAGGGGGCGTCGAATCCCCTGGAACTGGAGTTATGGACAATTGTTAGCTGTGATGTGGGGGCTGGGAACCGAACCCTGATCCTCTGCAAGAACAGCAAGGGCTCTTAACCACTGAGCCATCTCTCTAGCTCCCGTGTAGAGTTTTTTAAACAAAAGTACATTTGGGTCAGCAAGATAGTTCAGTGGGTAAAGGTATTTGCCACCAAGACTGATGTCTTGAGTTCAATACCCAGGATCCACATCGTGGAAGAGAACCAACTCCAGCAGATTGTCCTCTGACTGCCACACTCATACTGTGGCAATCTTGGCGCTCTCTCTCTCTCTCTCTCTCTCTCTCTCTCTCTCTGACATGCACACACATTTAATTTTTAAAAGATCCATTTGTTTGGGATGTTGTGGCACATGATTTAATTCTAGGACTCGGGAGGCAGAGGCAGGTGGATTTCTGTGGGTTTAAGGCCAACTTGGTCTACATACTGAGTTCTAGACCAGTCAGGGCGCCATAGTGAACCTGTTTCAAAAACAAAAAGGCCATTTTTAAGTAAACAGCCCTAAGTAGTCAACTTCAACACCTGTAAAGAAGGAGCCTCAGTTGAGAAATTTCCTCTATGGAATTGACCTGTGGACTGGACTAGGAGGCACTTACTTGATTGTTGAGTGATGTGTGGGCACCCACTGTGAGTGGCATCGCTGTTGGGTAGGAGGTGCAGGGTTGATTAAGAAAGCAGGCTGAGCACAGGTCAGGGGAGCAAGCCAGTAAGTGCCCCTTCATGGTTCTAGCCTTGAGTACCCACCTGGCTTCCCTCGAAGATGGACTGTGCCTTGGAAGTGTGAGATTTGAAATATACCCTTTCCTTCCCAAGCTGATTTTGGTCAGTGTTTTGTCACAGCAATAGAAAACCAAAATGGAACACCATGCTTGAACAAATAACCATCCACCCATGTTTATGTACATAACCTTTGAACTTAGTGGGTCATTAACAAACAAAAACACATGAAACTAAAGAGACTTGTTGGAAAGAAGGGATTCAGTGGGTGCGCAGGGGGAATGGACGAGGTCGCTGGGGGTTAAATACATTATATATGTATGAAACACTGTATACATGTGAAATTGTCAAAGAACAATACAAATTAAAATTAAAAAGTGTGTCCGTTTTCTTTGGCCATAGTTGAGCCTTTGCTTGTTTGAGTGGTGGGGCTGGGAACCTCAGGCAATAAATGCGCGGGAAATTGAGTGGAAAAGGTGAGGAACTGAAATCTAGTGCTGGGCCCTCTGGTCCTGGAAATTTCCGGGTCAGATCTGGGTGGAAGGGGTAAAGTCCTGCTGGACCCGGCCCTGGGTGCTAATCAGGACCCTGCCAGCCTACGGGACCTTTCAGTTTAGCTCCAAGGTCAGGGTCACCTCCGGCTACCAGGCAACCTGTCACCTTGACGACAGACTAAAGAAAACCAGAAACGACGGAAGCTGCGCGTGGTCTCGCGAGATCTGGAGCAGCCGGGTTCCATCTTTCCGCGCCGACCAGGGCGGCCGTGGGGCTCTCGCGAGATTTGCGGGGAGTCGAAGCGCGGGGGCTGGCGCGGTGAGGGAAGCTGGAGCTGCGGGTGGGGAACATGTCGGACTCAGACATCGGCAGGAAGTGGGACCGGTGCATGGCGGATGCGGTGGTGAAGCTAGGTAAGGGCCTGGCGCGCCTAGCGGCCCGGCCCGGAGCGAGGACGGCAAGTCGCGAGGGTCAAGCCGCGGCCCGCAGGGTGTGTGCGGAGCTGCCCCGGCGCCCACAGGTCACTGTCACTCGAGCGGCCTCCGGGGGAGTGGAGGTGCAGCCCCAGGGGGAGCACTCGGGGCGGGGGTAACACGGGGCCGGGAGCGCCGGGGAACCGGGTCCCTGGGTCGGGGTGTGCAGCTGCTCGGGAGGCTACACTGCTGCCCAGCGAAGGTCATGGCTTCCGCCAGGCCCTGGTGGCATCCGGTCATTCCCCACCTGCCGCCTCATTTATCCGGGTGGGAGGGGGGAGTCAGGGGCCTGGAATTGGAGACGTTGAGGACGATCAGGAAGGGGAATTGCCCTGGGCAGTAAGAACTTGGGCACTTGTACCCCATTGTCCCTCGAGGTGGGGTGTCCTAACATGAGTTCGGTGACGACACACTTTATGATGTCATGGTGTTCTTTCCCCGGTCTGGGGACTCTCCTAAAGTGAGCATGCTCCAAGTGCTTACAGTGCTAGGTGCACAGCTGGATACATTATCTGGTTGTGAAGACGAGTTGGGTGAAGGAATTTGCCCAGAGTTATACTGTTAATATATGCAAAGTTGAGAACTGAACCTAGGTTTTCTGGCTTTGGGTTGAAGGCACGCTGCTGTCGCTGCCGCTCCTTGCTCCTCTTCTGCCTCCTCTTGTGTGTGTGCAGGTGTCTGTGCAACTGTAGGCCAGAGATCGAGGTCAATTGTTTTCCCCAGTAACTGTCCACGGTTGATTTTAGCAGGCTGGCCTTGAGCTTAACAGAGAGCCTCCTGCCTCAGCCTTCCAGGTTCTGGGATTAAAGATGTGTACCAACATGCCCGGTTTCCATCTTAGTTTTTGAGACTGGGACTCACCGAACCTGCAGTTTACCAATTTGGTGAGTCCGGCTGGCCAGCAAACTCCAGGAATTTCCTTATCTCTGCCTCTCCAGACCTAGGGTTTTTTACATGGATGCTGGGGATCCAAACTCAGGTCCTCATGCTTGCAAAGGCTTTACCCATTGAGTCATCTCTCCATCCTGCCCTGCCCCCATTATGTAAATTTGATTTTTTTTTTGGTCTTTTTGAGACGGTCTCCCTGTAGCCCCAGCTGTCCTGGAACTCACTTTGTAGACCAGGCTGGCCTTGAACTCACAGAGATCCACCTGCCTCAGCCTCCCAAGTGCTGGGACTACAGCCACCATGCCCGGCTGTAAATTTGGTATTTTTATATTAAAGTCTTAGGCTATTTAAGAGAATTTAAGATGATGGATGCCCTTGAATGCTCTTGATGCCCTTATACCAGGAAAGAAATAAAAGTGTAAGTTCTATGAATGCAGGGGTGATTTTTGGTTTATTCTCTTCTGTCCCATCCCTAGGAGAGAATTCTGTAAGAATTATTCAGACTTAGGTCGGTGGCCTGTACTCTGGAGGCTGAGGTGGGTGGATCTCTGTGAAACCCAGGCCAGCCTGGTCTGCATAGTGAGTTCCAGGCCAGCTGGGTCTAACAGGGAGACCTGTCTCAAAAAACCAAGAAAAAAGAATTCAGAATGAATCAATAAGTGAAATAATTTATCGTAGTTACTATTTAGCTGTCAGCTTAGCACATAGCTCTGTGATTAGGGGCAAGTGATCTGATCACCCTGAGCTTGCTTTATTGTTTGTAAGTTGCCAGTAATTATTAATATCTTGTAGAGTAGTTGGGAAGATTAAGTGAGTTGACTGGTTATTGGAAATGACTTAGTCTGGAAATGGGAAGAATATTCTCTTTGCGGGGGTTGAGAGAGAGCACAGCAGTTAGGAGCAGTTTCTGCTCTCATAGAGGACTCAAATTCAGTTCCCAGCACCTATATCATAACCACCTGTAACTCTAGCTCCACCTTTTGGCCTCTTTGGGCACCAACACTCATGTGCCCATATACACACCATGCACAAATCTTAAAATTTCATTTTTGTTAATGGTTTGTTTTTAAGAGATACTCACAAATTCTTAAATGTGATGCAGAAATTTAGAATGGACTTTGAGGCCTACAGTTTGAGTTGCCTACTTTCTCATCATCACTATTTTATTTTATTTTACTTTGGTTAAGGTCTCTTTCTCAACTCTGAAATGGCCATAAAGAGATGTATCTGAAAGGACCATGAAAATCAAAGGACAGAAAAAATACATAAAACACTTAGTATGGTGCTTGGCACATAAACATTCGGGAAATAGTATAGTAACTTTGTTGGTATTAGTGTTGTGCCTCTAGTGGCCATCTGAGGTGAGTGAGCAGGTGTCCTTCATGAGTGGGGTGCTGGTGGGTGTGAGGCACACAGTGGAATAATGAAGCGAGTGAGGTGGTGTGTGAGAAAGTTTGTAAAGGGAAACCAGAGTCTACTGTAGAACTTTTGTAAGTGGAGTGAGCATAAGGATGGGCAGAGTTCCTTCAGTAAGAGTTTGCAAGGAAGGTGGGTCTTATATGACCTTTCTAGAATGGCTTGGACATGGATAGTTAGTAGTTTTCTATTTTTTGTGTTTTGAGACTGGCCTCACACTCAAGGTGTAGTAGAGGCTGACCTTGAACTCCTGATTCTCCTGCCTCTCTGCCTCCCAGATGTTAGAATTACAGCCATGGGCCAACTTGCTTTGCTTGCATAGTTATGGAAGAGCCTGAGCAGAGGCATAGTAACCTTGATTGTGGAGAGGAAGTGAAGCCGGAGAGAGGTTAAGTGTCCAGAATTGGAGAGCTGGACTTAAAAAACCTAGGTTTACCGAGGGCTGAAGAGATGGCTCAGAGGTTTAAGAGCACCTTTAGGTTCAGCTACCAGTAACTACATGGCAGCTAATACTCATCCATAACTCCAGTTCCAGGGGGTCTGATGCCCTCTTTTGGTCTCCATGGGCATTGCACACATGAATGAACCTTACACACATGCAGACACAACATTCATACACATAAAATAAAAACAAATAATTTTTAAGAACCCAGGCAGCACCACATGTGATGGTGCCTACCTTTAATCCCAGCACGTGGGAGGCAGAGGCAGGCAGATCTCTGTGAGTTCAAAGCCAGTCTGGTCTACATAGTGAGGTCCAGGCCAGCTGGGGCTACAGGGAGACCTTGACTCAAAAAGACCAAAAAAAAAAAAAAGAACCCTGGCATTCTATTTCAGTGTCTTTGTTCCTTAACCACAAGGGACTGGTTGGGGTACAGTCAGGTTATGAACCGCCTTAGATTCTGTCCTCTCTTCTTAGTATACTTGAGTACCCTTTGACTTTTTTTTTCACATGCATTTATTGTATCCAACACCTCTGGCTGCTCCTGCTACGCATAGGCTGATGGCTATCATGAGATGGTTCTACTGAGATGTGGGCCGGTCTGTGGGCAGATAGAGTTGCTTAGGGTGTTTCACTACTTGGTACGGGGAATTGGTGTGCCATAGGTGGAATTTTGGTAGTGTTCTGATAGTGTTTTGTACAGAATGAGTTTTGGGTACAGGAAGCTAACAGTGCCATCAACAGTCAAAACCTTCGAAGGAAAGGGGTCGCAGGTTTGCGGGAGCCCAGGACTCAGATTTTGATGGGATTGTTCTGCAGGTAATGGGCTGAGAGAAAGGTCAGAAGCAGGGGTGGGGGAGGCCCAGGAGCTGAGTGAATGGCCAGCGTTCTGCTCTGCTGTGAGCACCCTACTTCCTGTTTCTGTGGACAGTAAAGTGCAGGACTCTAAGTCAGGCTAGTGCTCCTGGAGGTGGAGTCTCAGGGAATAGCAGCCTGCTGTGGGATGGTTGGGAGAGTGGGTGGAAGACAGGTGAAGGGCAGGAAAACAAGCGCAGGCTTGAGCTCCTATTTTGATGATGATGTTCTCAGACTCTGCACTATAGAGAAGCCCCTCTGAATAGACAGCAGCCTTTCCAAGCCCCTTTTGGGGCTGGTGATGGGGCCTGAGGCCTTGTGTTCCACCCTGACATGCCCTCAGCCCTAAAGGTATTGCTAGTGTTGTAGAGCTGGTTTAGATAGCTCTCTTAAGCTATGTGTATTTAAGGTGGTGGTTCTTTAGTGTTCTTCAAGATCTTCTTACTCTGAATAATACTTTTAAAAGTTCTTATGATTTTTGTCTTTTAGGAAGAGAGACATTCATTTTAATAGAAATGCCTTTTCTAGGCCGGGCATGGTGGCGGCACAGCCTGTAGTCCCAGCACTCGGGAGGGGAGGCAGAGGCAGGCGGATCTCTGTGAGTTCGAGGCCAGCCTGGTCTGCATAGTGAGTTCCAGGACAGCTGGGGCTACAGGGAGACCTGTCTCAAAAAGACCAAAAAAAAAAATACCCAAACAAAAACCGAATAGAAATGTCTTTTCCTTCCATTGCTGCTGTAAGAAAAAGGGTTCCTTTTTAAGAAAGGTTTATTTTATTTTTATTTATGTGTCTGTATGCACATGTGCATGTGGGCGTCCATGGAGGGCAGAAGAGGGCGTCAGATCCTCTGGAGCTGGAGTTGCAGGTAGTTTTGAGCGGTCGGATGTGGGTGCTGGGAGCTGAATTCCTCTATAGGAACAGCAAATGCTCTTAATTGCTAAGTCATCTCCCCAGTTCCTAAGAAAAGCAGTTGTTACCTCTACTAAATCCAGTTTTAAAATACCTTTATTTTGTTGCAGTTAGTGTGGAAGAACAGGTGACAGACCATACATGGTCTGATGTGGCTCCCTGATTTTGGACAGGAGCTATTAACAGGAATGACAGGCCCTTGCTCACAACATCTGCTTTTCTCTCTTCCTCTGTTCTCCCAGCCCTTACCCCTCTTTCCCTTTGCCCTTCATCTACCCCCGCCTTTTGTATTGCTGGGGACTGAACTCAGACCCTGGGGCATGTGCACTCTACCACTGAGCTGTAGTGCAGTTTCCTCCCTCACATCCCCTCCCCCCGTATTGCATGATTCATCCATAATTTGATACTAACTTGTCTATGTTTTAATACCCCATTGGCACTTAAGAAGTCCCTTGGCGTCCTCTTTATCATGGGTCACATCGGCCATCATCCTTAGCAGTTGAAATGTGAGGTTTCTTCTGGACTTGATTGCTCCTC